ATCTGGTAAACGTGGTATATCCAATGGTGGAAGTTGAGATAAATTTCCTGTTGTCTTCACAGTTGTTTTTTCGTATGTTATCTTGATTTTGCAACTTTCTGTTCAAAAGATAGAGGAGCATTCATCAAGAGAATTTGTAATCTCTCTATAACGAAAAATAAGGAAAGGCTAAAAGCGGACTTTGAACTGAAAAACCAAATATAAAAGTCACTAACCTATAATTTCAAATTTGTGGGCTAAAGTGGCAGTTACTTCAACAGGTGGAAAAGGCCATGGAGCACCTAATTGAAGCTCTACTATATTGTCAAAATCTTTGCTAAAGACGTCAATCCTTTGGAACACCTGATAAGAAACAAAGGCTTATATCAGATTATAAGAAAATACTGCATTCCAGCATGTTTGGCTTAGCTTAAAAGTGCTTAAACTTACTTTGATGTAACTTTATGTTTCCAACATGTTTAGATAAATTGCTTCTTTTCTTATTTATAAGTAAAATAAGTTGCTTGTCTTGAAGAAGTTCTCAAATGGAAGGATAAAAGATCATTTACAAGAACGCGATAATAATAATAATCTAGAGACATTGATAAAATGCCAATAATACGCACCATTCCCGTTAAGGTGCCTAAGAGACTCCCAAAATGTCCGATTCAATTCTAGATACTTTAAACAGTATTTTGGAAGTGCATTAATTCACAAGTGGTCAAATACAATAACCAGAAGACGCCAACATTAAAATCATATTACATAGCACTCTAGCATACCTGGCCAAGAGTTATGGGAAGAAGTCTTCCAGTGGGTGGCCCGGGACGACTCCCGCCAAGTGTCCGAGAAGAAAATGCACTGCTATAAATCAATTTCCATCTGCCTTGCAGTTTATCAAGATCACTCAAAAGATCTACTGGACCTCCGGTAGATTCAAGCTCCTTTGCAAAATCATCAGCTTTGCGTAGATCGTCTTCATTTGCAGCAAGACCTCTATTTAACCCAGAAACTGCACTCTGAAATTAACAATCCCCCATGAATCAGCAGGCATTACTCTATTCAACTCATATTCAATCAACTCACACTGAATAAGTACTTAAAATACATACATATCTGTCTTTGTTGACACAACAATGTAGCTGAGAAGCAATTGGAAATTGGATATCCCAAACATTGCTTCATGACAGTCAAATTATAGGCATTATTATCCGTGGTTGGCAAAAGTTACAATTAGGGTCCTACTTCTGAAATGAAGTGGTATGACCTAATGACGTGTTTGGTAAACAGGTAAAGTAGATTAAGAAAGCCACAATCTTGTCCTTTTACGATGCAGTCCAGTTGTATCTACGAACGAAACAAGCCATACACGTTAACCTGTCTTGTTGATCTCGCTTGCTCATCCCGCTTCTGTGAATTTTTCTAATTTGACGTACCAGACTACAATGTTCAATTTTAACAGAAAGAATCATTGCTTACTTGGTGTGAACAAGCGTTTGTTCTCTTGATCATAGAAGACATTACTACACTATAGTATTTTCTAAACCTTCGACAAAATTTTGTCAGTCTTTACAGTTTTCATACATGTCCTAAATTCTCTCAACTCACTTTGAATCCTTTGTTGCCACTCTGTTTGTTCATTATTACATGTACCAGAGGGTCCACAACAAATGAATCATTAACAACCACAACAACAACCAAAATGAGAATTTAGGTGTACTCTCCCCACTTCTAAAACACACAGCACTAAACAATGAGATAATATAAGAAATCGAAGTCAATTTAGAAACAAAATTTCCATCACATCTATGAAATCTACCATAAACAACCTAATCCAAAAAGAAAAAAACAGTTTTTACAAATATAACTAAAGAAATTAACACAAAATTCTAACATTTGTACTATTCAAGAATGACCTCACACAAGCAATTCTTCACCATGTCCACAAAAGTGAGATTCCAAGCCAAAAATAAACAGATGATCAACAAAATCAAGCCTCCAAAAAAATAAAAAATAAAAAGCTGGGATTTTGATTTATACCAATAATTTGAACTTCAAGGACCCAATAAGCTCATCTTTTGATTGTTGAGTTTCAGGAGGTTCAATGAATTCGACTACACTAGAAGATGACCTACAAATGCCCCTTTTCTTTAAATTGCAGTTTCCTCTTCCGCTGTGATACGAAGATGAATTAATTGAACCATAATTTATTGGTGAAACAGAGGATAATGATGGTACAGAATACTGATGGTGAGAGGGTGAAAGGATAAAATTAAGTACAGAGGAAGCCATGGCTATTTGCAGTCTGTGCAGAAAGAATATTTTAATTTGTGTTTTGATTGGGTGGTGAGGAAGTTTTGTAGATTTCACTGGAATTTCATGGACCCGACTCAATATGATGGCCAAATATCCAGGAGATGCTCTTCATATTCCATTTCATCAAATTATTAGTAAATTATAAGCAAAATCTTCCGGACAGTAAAACAGCTGTGTCAACTGGACCCAGGTTTAGTGCTCGTTGAGGCCAATCTTGTTTTGTCAGGGATGGGCAAAAAATCGAATCGAACTTACGAAGTCGGTCCATTTTATTGATTGGCATTGACTCTATTATCTTTTTTTACAATTGAACTAAATTGCCCGGTTCACTTTCACTTAAGTTTTAGAATCAAGAACTGAACAGTTTGATTGGACTCTAAAAATTTTAGTATCTGTAAACGAAAAATTCGACAAGAACCAAAATTCTACTATTTTCTTAAGTATCAAGGTTTGTGCACTATATGATTAGACCTGAATGTTCATGACATGTATGCCCCCCTTTTTAAAAAAAAAAAAATTCAGTTAAAATATAAATTCAAAATTTCAATATCCAAAGCAAGTACTCGAAACAAACAACGTCCAAAATTAAATATTTGCAAGTAGAATTACATTGTAACTAAATTTCATTTCTTTATCCAAAATTTAATATTTTTCTATCTTCATAACTTCATTCATAGCAGAGCTAGAGATAACACAAGATGATCCCTGAAAAACGAAAGAAATATTATACACAAGATGTATGAAGATATGAGGTTTAGACTTTAGGGTGCTTTTTTTGTGATTTTGTAATTTGTAGTTAATTAATTAATTTTTTTATTCTTTACGGGACGGGTTCGGGGCGGGTTATTTTGCCATTACTAGAAAAAATGTTGGCTCCTTAACAAACACTAGGTGTTAGCATCCAAACGTACAACGCACTATGTGTACAATGTTGCAATTCGACAATGAAACTTACCATCAAACCAATTTTGTAGAGTAGAACTTTTGCCTTGCGAATTTCCTCTACCAGTTAGATCTTGGCAAGGCTCTCCTCTTAAGGGATTGAGGGCTGCCCTGCTCAAGGGTCCTCGCAGACCGCAATGAAAATGAAAACAAGCTAAAAATAATTTTTGGAATAATGATTGATGGAAGATTGTGTGGTTAAAAAGTAAGGAGAATTTCTGGGTTTATGTGTAGTATTATTTTATTGATAGAATGTGTGGTTGAAATAAAGAAAGAGAAAAAAATGAGAATGAGAATGAGAAAAAAATGGGTGCCAAACAGGGGCTTAGTAAATTATAAGCAAAATCTTCCGGACAGTAAAACAGCTGTGTCAACTGGACCCAGGTTTAGTGCTCGTTGAGGCCAATCTTGTTTTGTCAGGGATGGGCAAAAAATCGAATCGAAATTTCGAAGTCGGTCCATTTTATTGATTGGCATTGACTCTATTATCTTTTTTTACAATTGAACTAAATTGTCCGGTTCACTTTCATTCAAGTTTTAGAATCAAGAACTGAACAGTTTGATTGGACTCTAAAAATTTTTAGTATCTGTAAACGAAAAATTCGACAAGAACCCAACTTCTACTATTTTCTTAACTATCAAGGTTTGTGCACTATATGATTAGACCTGAATGTTCATGACATGTATGTTCCCCTTTTTAAAAAAATAATAAAATAAAATTCCAATTAATTCAAAATTTTAAAATTCAAAGCAAATAATGCTCAAATAACTACATCAATATCTAAAGTAAGCACTCGAAACAAATAATATCTAAAATTAAACATTTGCAAGTAGAATTACATTGTAACTAAATTTCATTTCTTTATCCAAAATTTAATATTTTTCTATCTTCATAACTTCATTCATCAGCAGAGCTAGAGATGACACAAGATGATCCGTGAAAAACGAAAGAAATATTATACACAAGATGGTATGAAGATATGAGGTTTAGACTTTAGAGTTGTCTGTTAGTTGCTTTTTTTGTGCTTTTGTAATTTGTAGTTAATTAATTAATTTTTTTATTCTTTACGGGGCGGGTTCAAGGCAGGGCATTCTCTGCCCCGCCAGCGGGATGGGGCAAGGATCGCCACGTCTAGGGCAGGGCTTTTTGCCATTACTAGAAAAAAATATTGGCTCCTTAACAAACACTAGGTGTTAGCATCCGAACGTACAACACAATGTGTGTACAATGTTGCAATTCGACAATGAAACTTACCATCAAACCAATTCTGTGGAGTAGAACTTTTGCCTTGCGAATTTCCTCTACCAGTTAGATCTTGGCAAGGCTCTCCTCTTAAGGGATTGAGGGCTGCCCTGCTCAAGGGTCCTCGCGGACCGCAATGAAAATGAAAACAAGCTTTGCCTTTCGAATTTCCTCTACCAGTTAGATCTTGGCAAGGCGCTCCTCTTAAGTGAGTGAGGGCTGCCCTGCGCAAGGGTCCTCGCAGACCGCAATGAATATGAAAACAAGCAGATATGAGTTTCAAGTTTCGACGACAGCATATAGGTCAGTAGGGGCGTGGTTGGAAATCTTTTGACAGTAGAGTTCTAACGATATTTTAGATCACACGTGTATTAAAGACAAATATAAAGAAAATTAACTCCAAAGAAAAAATAATAATTTAAATTCTATATATTTTTTTAACCTCTTATTCATGGAGTTACAAATCATTAAAATATCAAACAAATCTATAATGTATAATTATAATATTAATAAATAATAATAAAAAATTATAGAAATGTTTATATATTTTTTAAAATCCAATAAACAAAGAAACTAAAAGAAATGGAAAGGATTACATTGAACTTCTTCAACCTTGTGTATGTGCAATTAAATTACTAATATCTGCTTGACAACTTAACTCCATGATAATGCAATTTATTTGATAGTCAATGGTACTAAACTATTGGTTCTTTTCTCTTATAACTGTCCATTTATAGTAAAAATTAATATACTTAAATTACATAAGATTGACTTTGGATGTATCCAAATTAATTTATAATTAAAAATAAATAAACAATGTGATTGTGAGAGGTGAGAGTTGTAATTACTAATCAATGAGCCATCGATCTGGTTGAAAAAAATTTTGTGCCCCTAAATAAACTTTGAAAGTAAAATAAATTATTAGTCCAACTTAAAATAAGTAAATTATTTATTTTATGAGTAAAATAAGAATTACTTTTAAAATTAGTAATGCTTTTACTTGAAATTAGAAAAAATAATGGTTGAACAATCTCATCTGAAAGCTTAAATTGTTAAAGATAAGGCATATTTATTTATCTATTTATTGTCTTCGATACACCACCTCATGTCATGGCACATTTATATATGCATCGCGAGTTCGATTCGTGGGGCTTTTGGAAGGCAAGATTTATCCTAGAAGGCAGGAGTTCTCCTGAAAGACAAGGTGCAACATGTGTTGACTCGTTTGGTACTTTGACAGATCGGTGGAGGGGCCCTTGGACCCTAGCCAGTCTGGGGCACATCCCGTTGTTTACCTAGTCGGCGTCTTAAGGGGCTAAGACATAGACCCCATGATTACTCGTCGAATGTGGACACTTGGGTATAAAAAAAAAAAAATTATATATGCATCGAGGGCACACTATCATGCCATGTGACAAATTTTCATGAATGAATCATGGCAATATGTATATCTAAATTTCTTACCTAATTTAGAAGTAACTTTTCAGTGCTTGTCTTTAAACATGATGAGCGCATTTGATACGTAAGCCAAGAAAGGATTATAAATAGAGACTTTTAGAAAAATGTCACATTTTTGGAATACAACTCATTATTTTATCTATTTCTAGCTCATAAGTATTAGCATGAACGTGCACCACAATGTTGCAACGCGATGATGAAACTTACCCATCAAACAGACCTCTTATGGTAACGGTGATTGTAGAGTAAAACCTTCGCCTTGGAAATTTCTACCAAGTAGATCTTGTCGAGACTCTCCTTGTAGATGTTGACGGCAACCTAACAAGCCAAAAAATGAAAAATGAAAACAAGCGTATAATAGTTTCAAGCTTCAACGATAAAATACAAGTCAACAAGGACGTGATTGAAAATTTGTTGACAGCAAGGTCCTAGCGATTGTTTAGATCAACACTATATTAAAGACAAATGAAAAGAAAAATAATTTCTATTTACATATATTTTTAACGTCCAATAAACAAACAAACAAAATGAAAAGGAAAGATTTGCTTAAATTTCTTCAACCTTGAGCATGTACAATTAAATTACTAATATTTACTTGACAACTTAACTCCATGATAATAAAATTTATTTGATAGTCAATAATAATAAATTATTGGTTCTTTTAGTGACATATTATGCTTGATATTTTCTTCTCTGAACTGTCTAATCATATTTAAAAAAAAAAGTAAAGTACTTAATTTTAATTAGTTGCGATAAGATTGTGTACTTGTGAATAAACAAATAAATTTTGAAATAAATAATATTATTAGTCAACCTTGAAATAAGTAAATTATTTATTTTACGCGTAAAATGAAACTTAGTTTCAAATACGTAACTTTTTTACTTCAAAAAAAGGAAAACATAATTGTTGAATTACCTCATCTAAAAGTTTAAATTACTGAAAATGATATGTACATATTTATTATCTTCGATATACCTCATTACGTGCATGCCATATATTCATCGAGACATCCTACCATGCCATGTGACAAATTTTCATTAATGACTCGCGGTAATGCTTAAATTTAAATTTCTTACTTAACTCATATATTATGTTGAACTAACTCATATATAAAGGATATATAATATGTTGTCTTCAAGAGTAACAAATCCAAATAAAAACTTATTTAGAAGTAACTTTTAATAATTGTCTCTAAACATGATGAGCTTATTCGATACGCTAGACAATATCATAAAGGTATAAATGTAATACTAATTCAATTGCGGAAGAAAGACGTTTTAATAGAAAGTTAAGTTCACCGATACCCTCTTTTCCGAACGCGTAGAAATGCCTATCTTATCTCGATCTTATCATTTTCATATACAAACAAAATCGTATCAATTCATAGTTTTCATGCACAAACAAATTTAGAGCCAAAAAAAAAACATAAAATCTATGTTAGAAAATGATTTTGTTGAATGAATCAACGAGGGAGAGCTTTGAATGTGTCCCTTTGGACAATACAAACAAACAATACTGAAGTAAACAGTGACTTTTGGCCTTCTCAATCTATACGAACTGCTGTTTGACCAATTTATTTGTATTTAAAATTTAGATACATCTGTATTTTATAATGTCGTGTTCATAAAACAATTTTTAATGTTGGAAAAGTACTACGTAATACTTGCAACTTGGAGGAACTTTTGGCAATTTTAAAATAGCAAATTGACTTAATTAAATTAGATACTTCCATTTCATAAGGATTAGTGCTTCCTTAGCTGTAATGAACAATTAACAGTTAAACAATGCAGATTAAGGCTGCTTTCCAATCACATGTATCTATCAGGCTTGAGAGTATTTGAAGATGATTTAATTAAGCCCCCACATAGTTTTGATTAAAAAAAAAAAAAGAAGAAGAGAATTTCAGTAAACTTTGAAAAAATTTAATGAATCGTATGATTGAAAAGTCGTGGATTCTATGAAATCCCAGGTTAAAATTAATTATTAATTTTGACTTAAATTCTGATAAGACATTTTAGTTGAGCAAACAGATTGTTCAAGTTAATGAAAATATAAATCTTATTGTCAAGTGAAAATCAAGTTTATTTTTTCATAAAGGTCTAACGTGTGGGAGAAAATAACGTCTATACACTCTTAACTTGTGGGATTGAGTTATTTCATTAGGATAACAACACGGTTATCGATTTTTGATTGATGGTCAAAGCATTCGTGGTAATCGATATTTCCTATGAACCCACGAGTTAGGTCAGCGATTTATACTTGCGAAAATGAAGGGACCCCTTACTATTTACCATTGAGGAATGTGATAACGAGAATAGTGAAGGCTAGGTTCCTCAACCCCTCATACACGGTGCTAACTAGATAAGAACATATTACCATATCATAGATTTCATCAACAAATTTAAGAAACATAATGGACAACGACATGTGTCCAATCATCTTGTGGAATCGTTAACCAAGAAAGGGATATATATATATAGCAACCTTCAAGAAAGGGTTATAAATAGCAATCAAGAAAAGACTACGAATAGCAACCTTTGGTAAGGATTAAAATCAAATTTTTAATCGATTTTGATAGAAATTGATGAAATGTACTGTTGAAAAGTTGTGGGTACCACAAAATGTATGATTAAAATTAATTGTTAACTTTAACTCGAATTAAAATCTTGATTTTAATTTCCACTAAACAATGGCTCAGTTCAGTTTCTATATTTTAAAAACACCCTATTTATCAATATTGACCATGGATTGTTACGTAGCTTATGCCGTTGTGGGACCCACCTGGGACGACGTTCCCAACTCCTTTTTCAGGTCATTGTACTATTCGGAGGTTCCGTTCTGGTTATCCGCGAAATCAACAATCAAGACCCAACATACGAGGGGAAAAAGTCGGCCTATGTTTGGTGAAGAGACAATTTACATAAATAAGTTAGTCTAGCAAATTCCACTCGATCAATCCCTTTCTTGTGGTGCAGTGTATCTGTGGACTTCACTGGAAATAAAAGCCTTTTACTAGAGGGAAAGCCAAAGCAATGCAAATCAACAAACTTAACCAAACCCCAAGAGTTTTACAACAAAAAACGAACTTTATATCACGGGCATTTCAATGAACAAGCTGGAAATTTCTGGAGTAGAACAAATTATTTTATCCATTTCTGGCTCATATAGCAAAAAATGTCATTTTATTTGATTGAATTATTTGTCTTATAAAATAATTTCAATTATGAATGCAAGTTAATGAACAATAACTACGAAAATGAAATGCAACTGCCTACATCATTAATTTTTATTTTGTTTCTCTAGAACTTCGTTTAGACACGTTTGTATCACGATTACGTCACCCGGGAACAAAATTTAGATCACTAGATTTATAATTTTAATTTCAATTATGTCGCACTGTTCCAGTCCTTAATGTAACGTAACGAATTGAAACACTAAATTTATAGTACTAATAGAAGACCAATTCTAACTCGATTTTACGACTGAATCCTTAGAACATAAATATAAAATCCTAACACAAAGATTATCAATTCCTATTAAAAAATTGAATTACTATTCAAGTAAATTTTGTCTTTTGACTATGATCGCACAAGTTGAGTGGATGGTTTTGAATTTTGTTTAATAAAAACTTGTGGATATCAAGTTGTGGCATTTTCTTGGCACCCATGTAAGTATACCTCTCTTAATTTATTTCCCTTTATGGCTACCAAGAAAAGTCCATAAATAATTAATAATTGAAGGTGACAATTTTTTCAACTTTATATAAGGTTTCCTCTCTTTTGTATTAATTACACGACAGTTTTCTCAGATAATATTAGTAAAACCAGAAAGAGAGAAAAATATGGGGAGAAACTGTCATCCTTTACTAAGAGGTGGAAGGAGAGAAACTAAATACAGCCATGAATTTTCTGCTTCAGACATGGAAACTCTAGCCAGTATATGTGAAGTCATTCTACCTTCTTTACCCCTGAATACTGCTGAAATTTCTTCAACGAATGAACAATCCAAAAGGGCTGTTCAGTCTTTCTACAGTGCTTCTGGATCACAGTATCCCATACCAGACGAGGTAAACATAGCACGTATCCGATACACGTAACGTAAGGGTTGCAGAAAGTGAAGTTTCTTATATAGTTTCAATGTGTATATGCAGGTTGCAGAACTCATAACAAAGAGGGGATTTTTGGAAGCTAAACTATTGGTCAGAGGGCTGTTAAAAATTCTCTCGACGAGGCTCGGGACTTTATTGATCTGTGGAACTCTTTGTTTTGACAACAAATGGCCATATATGAACAAATTCTCGTGTATTTCTCTACAGAAGAGGGAAACTGTTATTCAGTACTGGTTCAAGAATTGGCTTCTTACTCCTATCAGGATAGCTTTTGTGTTCATCAAAATCTTATGCCTCTTTGTCTTCTTCACTCGGGTAATTTTCTTCAAAACCTTAACTCATACGTTTTTGCATTTTTACGCGTGATACTTAGCCCTTGTTTGATTTTTTTTAAAGATATGATTTTGTGAAATATATATATTTTTTAAAAGTGTAGTTAAAAAGTAGAAAAAAATTATGGATTCATTTGTAAAATTATTTTACTAAGAGAATATATGATTTAAAATAATTTTGAAGAAACTTAGTAATATGATCTTATTTCCTTCTCGAATTTCTTGAAATATTCTAATATAACCCTTTTGTATATCAACTTACGTCATATCTTTCGTTGTTGACGTATGATAATGTCATTATAGTAAAATATTAATGGCCTAATATCAGCAGATTTAGCTCTATGTTAGTATAATATCTAAAGCAAGCATCTCACTTATGCTTGATCCCCAAAAAATAAATAAATAAAATTACACAGAATATTTAATAAATGGAATTATGTCATAGTTGACCTAGCTTTCCAGCACAAGAGCTAATAGAAAAATAGCCATTATACAGTATTCAGTCTCCTTTGTTAATGAGTAGGGAATTCTTTCTCACTTTATGTAAATTATAATTTGAATTATTTGAGGATCTTAGCTACATAGTGGATATGAAACATGATACTAGACAAATATCGTACATGTACTCCTTTTTTAATCTTATCGATTATCTGAATACTAAAAATATTATCATCACACGTTATTCACAATAAATATGATTAGCTCTTGACATTTCCTTAACCAGTAAGGATGTGGTTGGTTGATGAAAATGATATACCTTTATGACTCCTCATTTTTTCACTATTGATATAATCATATTTTTTTATGGAAAGCATATTTCTATAAGTCTTGCAATACAATAATGTCACACATACTTGATTTTTTTGTAGGGCAAGAGACCAACAACCTATAATATTTCTAGTAATTAAATGTCAAAATTTCTTATATGCAACAAGTACTGATTTGACTGAATACTTTCCTCATCACACATCTAGTATCCTGTATTAATAGTTCTTGATAATAAAATAAACAAGATTTTAACTTTTGTCTCTTCTTTAATATTGTCGAATATTGCCCATAACGTCTGCGTGTGAATCAAGAAATCTTCTGAATATTGATAGGAAAGAAAAAGAAGCAAGACTAACAAACAAATTGCATTGAAACTTGACTTGGTGAAGTTTAACCACATTGGGGAGGTTTTAATGAAAGTTTACTTCCTATAACAAAGTAATTAGTGAAATTATCAACAACTTTAATACAGGAAAACTAATGTTATGGACAGTGATTTATGCTACAACAGAGTTTATAATCCAGTCACATCTAGTAGGTTGATACTACTACAGATTAACTCAGAAAGCAGGAAATTTAAATATAATTCATCCTTTTATAGGTTGGAGAAGATTCAAAAAATCCAGCTTGGGAAGCCATGGATTATGAGGTAGATAGTGCTGAAAATTTATCCAATTTGCCTGAAGATAGACCTCTTGAAAAAGGAATAGTTGAGACTATGAATGAAACCGAGTCGAAATTTGTCAGTTCTCTAGTTCAAAAAGGCCTCAGTGTCACCGGAGATCCTTTACAGAACATGTACAAGATCAAATGCGACGTTGTAATTGTAGGCTCGGGTTGTGGTGGTGGTGTTGCTGCGGCTGTTCTTGCAAGTTCAGGCCTGAAAGTTGTGGTTCTTGAAAAAGGAAATTATTTTACTAAAACAGATTATTCTGCACTAGAAGGACCTTCCATGAATCAACTTTATGAATCTGGAGGACTTCTTGCAACCTTGGATGGAAAAATGATGGTTCTTGCAGGATCAACAGTGGGTGGTGGATCTGCTGTTAATTGGTCGGCCTGTATTAAAACACCGAATTCTGTACTTCAAGAATGGGCTAAAGATCACAAAATTCCAATGTTTGCAAGTTCTCAGTATTCCTCTGCTATGGATATTGCGTACGAAAGACTTGGTGTCACGAAGAATTGTGTCCAAGAGGGGTTTCAGAATCAGATTTTACGAAGAGGGTGCGAGAAATTAGGCCTTGAAGTTGAATCCGTCCCACGAAATTCCTCAGAAAGACATTACTGTGGTTCTTGTTGCTATGGCTGTGTACAAGGTGACAAGAAAGGAACTGACACAACTTGGCTAGTTGATGCAGTGAATTGTGGTGCAGTGATCATAACAGGATGCAAAGCCGAGAGATTTGTACTAGAAAAGAACGAGTATGGAAGTACAAGGCAGAAGAAATGCTTGGGAGTGAATGCAAAGAGTATGAATACAGATTTTACGAACAGGATACAAATTGAGGCTAAGGTGACAATCTCGGCTTGTGGTTCTCTCTTGACCCCTCCATTGATGATATCTAGTGGTTTAACAAATAAAAACATCGGCCAGAATCTTCATCTTCACCCGGTTCTAATGGCATGGGGATACTTCCCAGAGTCCAATTCAGATCTCAAAGGAAAAATTTACGAGGGAGGTATAATTACCTCGTTGCATAAAGTTAGACTGGATGGATCAAATGCAAGAGCAATTATAGAATCCCCTATTCTAGGCCCGGGATCGTTTGCTGCATTATGTCCTTGGAAGTCAGGAATGGACTTGAAGAACAGGATGGTTAGGTATTCTAGAACGGCTCATCTGTTCTCAATGATTCGAGATAGAGGCTCAGGGGAAGTTACATCAGAAGGAAGGATTAATTATTCGTTCAATAAACTGGACAAAGAAAATATGAAGGTAGGTTTACGCGAAGCATTAAGGATTTTGATAGCGGCAGGAGCTGCTGAGGTGGGCACTCATCGGAGTGATGGACAAAAGCTGATATGCAAAGGCAAAAGTAACAAAGAGTTGGACGAGTTTCTTGACACGATTACTGTCCCGGAAGGGCCTAAATCTTTGGTCGAGAACTGGACTACTTATTGTTCTGCGCATCAAATAGGAAGCTGCAGAATGGGGATTAACGAAGAGGAGGGTGCAGTGGACGAAAATGGAGAGAGTTGGGAAGCAGAAGGCATATTTGTTTGTGATGCTAGTGTTCTTCCAAGCGCCATTGGAATCAATCCTATGATAACCATTCAAGCAACTTCATATTGCCTCTCGAAAAAGATAGCTGAGAGACTGAAAAGTTTTAGCTAGTATAGTACAATCTTTACTATGTTTACATGTAATCTGCCTTGTTATACATTGTTGAATAAGCAAGGCAATACAATGATGACACTGTTTGGTATACTAGATTGGATTGCATACAGGAGAAATAAAGAAGAAAAAATTCAAAACTTTTTGTTAACCAACACAAATATGTTCCTCTCTATCAACATTATTAATTCAATGAATTAATCTACTTATACATTCTTTGTGTACATCGTAGATGGCATTCCAATAGGTGTTAAAATCGAGGTCATTGATTGTTTTAAGTGTTGACAAATCAATGGCAAAATTGTATGCCACGTGGTGAAATGTAAACCAAAACGTAATTGGAGTTAAATTTCAGGAAAAACTTGAGCCCATACATTATCAGTAAAATAATTGGACTTAGATTTCAAGAAAAACTAAGTCCACACATTATCAATTAAACTTTTCTGATGTTGATCTTATTACTCATATCTTGAAGGGTTAATTATTCGAATGAATTTTTTGATAACAGTGAGTGTTCAGACCAGATTGCGTTCACCACAATTAATCCCACGAGACTCGAAGTTTACGACCAGATACTCACGTCAGTGACTCTGAGGAGACTCGAACTGGTGATCATTGTGGAGCAAATCAAATGTCTGACCAATTGAACAACCATTTGAATGACATTGAATGATACCAAGTGTTATCATTTAATAATCGAATTTAAAATTATATCTTAATAGTCAATGAATGATGCACTGTATTATTGAATCTAACGGATTTTTCCACTTAAGTAATGGATAAATAATACGATGTATGTTTCAGTGACCATTAAAATATATTTTTAAGTTTAATTAATAATTTGTAGCACTTCAATAATCATACAAAATTATCCCTTCAAAATATGGGCTCAAATAAAGGCTTAAACTTTAATCTTGTCATTACTAATCTAGGAATGAAACTTATCTCTCGACTTTGATCCTAAACAGCCATTCTCCACATCTGGTTATTAAAAATTGCTACCCTATAAATAGACAGCACAGACGAATTAATATCAAACTCATACCTTGATTTCTCTTCTATATCTTGGATTTTCCCGAAACCCAGGTAATCAAATACTTTATATTTTTCAATTAACTTTGAAACGCGAATTGTCGCAAGTGCATAGGTGGTTTTTTTAACAAACTTTCAGGCATCTATTAATTAATTTATTTATTTATTCAGTTTTGTCGATTTTATGCTGAATTTTCTGGACAGAAAGAAGCACGCACGCTCACGTAAGGGATTATACGTGTTTGTGAGCATATCTGTGTTTATGGATATCTGTTTGTTGTTACTTCATAAAAAAATTTAGCCTTCTCGAGGTTTCTGTAGGAAAAAAAAGAGGGGGGGGGGGGGGGGAATTGTTTAATATGGAAAGTCGAAATGTTTATGCGGGCGCCGGGCAGTACAAATATTAGTGGAAGCGTCGAAAAAAGCTGTCGAGCACTGACTCGGCATCTCAATGTAATAAACGGAGTGGGGTTGAAATAAAGAAAATGTCATTCATCCCCAGTGGACATTCTCAGTCTATATGAATGTAAATAATTGGTTAAATAATAGGTGAAATTAAATAATTTATTTAATTTCATCTATCATTTAATGTCACATTAACGCCACATAGACTGGGGATGTATTCCCCGTGGAGATGAATAGTGTTTCTCTGAAATAAAGGGTCTTATTCCCATTCTGTTGCTCGTAAAGTAGAAGCGGATTATGGCACATGGCCTGCTGGAAATACTTTTGGGAGAATTTTCTTATTTTTTAGGGAAAATTGCAGTGGAGGTCCCAAACCTTTTATTTTGCTGCAGAGTACACCTTGACCTTTTATTTTTGAGACCTTAGTCCCATACCTTTAGTTTTAATGCATTCATAGTCCATATAATAGATTCCATCAAAAATTCCGTTAGTCAACACTAAAATTAAAACTTCAACTCTAATTGACAAATTAATCGCTTGTTTGGGAGGGATTACTCAATATTTGAAGCCATTTTATGTTAGTTAGCAACTCAGAAGTGGGTCACATTGTTGCTATGTATTTACTGTCATCATTTGAAATTATCACCTAAAAATGATGAAAGACGGTATTACCCTTATTATTACTTTGAATTACTTATATATTCCTTTCAACAACAATGTTTAACTATTCTTAAAGGATATTATTTGAAAATAATGATAATTTATTGGAAAGGTAACCAAAAGCAACAACTATAATGGGACCCACTTCTAAGTCACTAAGATAATAAAATGACTTATGAGTATTTTTAATTGACATGAAAAATATATCTTAGAAAAAAAATTATTTTCCTTATTTTGAGGAGAATAAAAACTTACTCCTTCCCAAAAAAATGTTTTCCTTTAAAATAAGTAAAATTTCTAAATTAGGCATATTTTTAAATTTTGAAAAATAATTTTTATGGAAAAAATAGAAATCAAACACTTCAAAATATGAACTTGAATGAAAAATTGACATTTTGCATTAAAAATAAATGCAATCAAACACACCTTAAAAGCTTGGAAAAATCCATCTATCTAAATGAAGGGCAAAATAGTATATTTACAATTTTATAACAAAACAATTAAAATAATTAAACCAAAAATGAGAGAAGACTTGTCATCTTTCCCAAACCTTCCCACTCTCACTCACCCCTATCCTTACCCTTTCCTAAATGCAAGGGCTGTTCGGTAGAGATTAAAATCGAATTAAAATTGAAAAATTAGTCGTTATTGTTAACTTTTATTAGACGAGTATGACCCAATACCGGCTATATTTTTAATTTTAATTGGATTTTAGAAGCAAATATCAAGAAACCTAGTCATGTAAGTGGTCGTCGTCCGCCAACGCAAGCTGTCCACCGATTGAATATATGCATTTTCCTATATCCCATTTCCTTTAAAAGAGAGGATGCGAATTCCACTGTTCAATTCGTGCCTTGCCTTTCACACTTTAACTGATTTTTTTAACTGGTTATGTAACAGTGACATACCTTTCACACATATCAATTAGCATGTTATTTTTTCTTTTCTTTTTTTAGGTGATTTAGTCTTGACATGTTGGTTA